GGCTATTTGTACTACAAATATTCAACATTCCAAGAACGGGAGAGAGAGGGAGAGGGAGAGACACAGGTGACCACTGGTAAGTGCCTGAGCAGAATGAGAGGTGGGGGGGGAGAGAGATGGAGAGAAAGACGGAGAGAGGGGGAGAGAGAGAGAGAGCGACACAGGTGACCACTGAAGTGCCTGAGCGGAATGAGAGGTCAGCCAGGACAGTCAGCTCAGGTCTGACAAACATATGTTCCTGGGGCAGATAAAATTCACTACAAGACCACAAAAGCAGCTCGTGCTATTGGACAACGGCCAGAACGGCATGATTTAAAGAGCTCAGCAAACTAACTGGGAAGTCCCATTGCAGCATCTGCATCCACTACTCGTACCACCTATATATAGACAAATGTACAACATACGGGCCAGCAGCTGCCGAGGTATGCTTGTGGCGACAGACCTGCTGATGAAGCCAATGACTTCACTTCCTGTGGTGCTGGAGCAAGGCTAAGACTTGTTGTTCTACAGCCAATAGAAAACTACAGGTCTCCTCTCTGAAGTAGAAACAGTTACTTCATTCTTTTAACATGTATTATTTGATATATTTATAGGTATAGGTAAAAATGACATATTTCGATTTCCTGGCATGCAGTTATTTGCTGTGGTTGCTGTCAATCACACTGAGCACGGGGTCCCATGCTGTGAACTATATAATACATTACATTATTGTATTAATTACAAAGACAATGCCAAACATGAGATTATTATTTTTTTAGAATCATGTCTGTTTATAGAAGAGAGGTTATGGGTATGTTATAATAACAATTCTGCATTTGCAAAACTACATTTCTCCAAACTGCAAACTCTGCATATTGATGGTGGTATCTGGTGCTTCAGGTCAGATTATATGGAGAAATTAAGAAAGTAATCAAATAATAGAGGTATGAATTGCCGCACATTGAATGAGAAATTTGCAAACAGTATACAGTATGTGTCTCCATCCTTTATGCCTCTTTCTAAAGCAATTAAGAACCAGTACATTGTCAAAATGCATATATGTAAACCATATTACCTCCCCAAACATTTTTTAATTGATCTTGCAGCACTAGGTGTCCCTGGTTCGAATCCATGCCAGATCACTATCTGAAAGGAGTTTGCATGTTCTCCCTGTGCTTGCTTGGGTTTCCTCCGGGTACTCCGTTTTCCTCCCACACTCCAAAGACATGCTGGAAGGTTAATTGGCTCCTGTCTAAATTGTCCCTCGTATGTATACATGTGAGATAGGGACCTTAGATCCCAAACTCGCTCATCCATGTCTTTATGGACCTTGCTCTGTGCACTGGTGCGCAGTCATGTTGGAACAGGAAGGGGCCATACCCAAACTGTTCCCACAAAGTTGGGAGCATAAAATTGTCCAAAATGTCTTGGTATGCTGATGCCTTAAGAATTCCCTTCACTGGAACTAAGGGGCCAAGCCCAACCTCTGAAAAATAACCCCTCACCATAATCCTCCCAACACCAAACTTTACACTTGGCACAATGCAGTCAGGCAAGTACCGTTCACCTGGCAACCGCCAAACCCAGACACGTCTATCGGATTGCCAGACAGAGAAGCGTGATTGGTCACTCCAGAGAACACGTCTCCACTCTCTAGAGTCCAGTGCCGGCGTGCTTTACACCACTGCATCTGACGCTTTGCATTGCACTTGGTGATGCAAGACTTAGATGCAGCCGCTCGGCCATAGAACCCCATTCCACAAAGCTCTCTGCGCACTGTTGTTGTGCCAATCTGAAGGCCACGTGAAGTTTGGAGGTCTGTAGCTATAGCAGTTGGCGACTTCTGCGCACTGTGCGCTTCAGCATGCGCTGCCCCCGCTCTATAATTTTATGTGGCCTACTGTCGTGGCTGAGTTGCTGTTGTTCCCAGTTGCTTTCACTTTGTTACAATACCACAAACAGTTGACCGTGGAATATTTAGTAGCAAGGAGTTTTCATGGATGGACTTATTGCACAGGTGGCAACCAAATTCACTGAGCTCCTGAGAGCGACCCATTCTTTCCCAAATAAAGTACTTGATTGTATACACCTGGGGCCATGGAGGTGATTGGGACACCTGTATCCAATGATTTGGAGGAGGTTTCCCAATACTTTTGGCAATATAGTGTGTGTATACTCTCTCTCTCCATCTGCCATTACGCAAGTCTAGGCTTTCTCTGCACCTTTAGAGAGAAGGGGCTACTCCAACTATTTTTGGTTAGGGGGATGCACTGGGGTCCCAGCGTGCATTTTTGGTTGCTGGGCCCCCAGTGCGTCCCTGCACCTTATTAGGAGGAGTAGGCTACCTCCAGGTACACCTGCATGCAATCTATCGACTTCATTAATATGCTCACACTTGGAGACTCAGATACATAGAGTTAGGACCACACTTTGCAGAGGTGCCTTGGCGCGGCAGTGTGGCTTCTACATATTTTTGGCCAAAAGTTTGTGCAACTAAAACCTCTGATTTTAACGCATACTGTTGACAGGGCTACTTGTTTGGTTGCAGGCCGGCTGGCAGGTTGGGGCTGGGGAATTTTTGTGTTTTGTATTGTTGTAAGCTTTCCCATTGTGCTCCCTGCTATAAAGGCTGGTTATGGATTCATGCATGTACCACTTCTTTCTAGTTTGACTATTTTTGGTTAGGGGGATGCACTGGGGTCCCAGCGTGCATTTTTGGTTGCTGGGCCCCCAGTGCGTCCCTGCACCTTATTAGGAGGAGTAGGCTACCTCCAGGTACACCTGCATGCAATCTATCGACTTCATTAATATGCTCACACTTGGAGACTCAGATACATAGAGTTAGGACCACACTTTGCAGAGGTGCCTTGGCGCGGCAGTGTGGCTTCTACATATTTTTGGCCAAAAGTTTGTGCAACTAAAACCTCTGATTTTAACGCATACTGTTGACAGGGCTACTTGTTTGGTTGCAGGCTGGCTGGCAGGTTGGGGCTGGGGAATTTTTGTGTTTTGTAATGCTACTCCAAGGCATACCTGCTATCAATATTTTCATTGCTTTAAACAGTATGCCCCAAGTAAGGAGTTCTGTTCAACTAGGGTTGCAGTACACACTTTGCAGAGGTGCGCTGACAAAGGTGTGCTGAGAATTGTATTTTTTGTATTGCAGCCTAGCCTGCTTAATGGACCATAAGGGAACATCACCACACTCACACTGATAAAGTCATCTCTCTGCTAACTCCTCCTGTCGGCTCCCATTGGTAGACTGATGGAACTGGGCAATGCAAAAGAGCCTGATTGGCTTACACAGGGCTTTTTCTTGCAAAGATTGTGTGGCATCAGGAGGGCCACACAGTAAAGATCTTGGGAATTGGACGGAAACTATTTAGCTATGTGGCTTCCACTGATAGGGGTGGGAGGGATTTATTGGTCAACTATCTGAACAAGCCTACTGAAGGGAAACCTGAACCTGGCTGGGATGAATCAATTTTTGACTACTATTGTTAATAGATATGAGGCCAGTACTTCCCTCCTTCCTCTATGCCCAGTGTGAACTTTCCTGTTTGTAGAAAGATATTTCCTTATGCTGACCATAGACGGCATGAATATTGGCCATACAGCCCATGGGAAAAGCAAGATGGAGGAACTTCCAGTGCCGACATCTGATAGGATGCAGTCACTGTTTGGCAATAATTTACCAACTGGTTCAGTCCATTTTTTAGAGAAATTTTATGAAGCAACTGATATTCGTGCCATCTATGGCTAGCTTTAGAATCATCATTCAGAAGCCAGCTAACGCATGCACAGGCCACCCACCATCTTTTAGTAGAATTAACCTCTAACATTTTTTTCAATAATTAATCCGGATCAAACAAACATGCATTGCCCAGCAAAGTATTTATTTACATTGTTTTCCCCAAATACTTACAGTCACCATATTTCTGAACAGCTCCAACTCTCTCAGCTCTGCATCCTTGTACTTCCTGTCTAGTACAAAATCACAAAGGAAATCCATCTATTAGCTTGGAAAAGGGAGATGAGAGGAATGGGGAGCTAAGGGGTGTCTTGCCTTGCTGTTTACTAGCACACACAAGGGTGGCTCCATAGGACCCTGCAAGGGAAAGGGGCCAACCAAAAACAGGATATTAGGGCCATGGCTCAGGGGAACAGCGTATTCTGTAGGAAGCTAAAACTTAACATGAAGGTGCAGCATCCATTGTAAGTGATTTAATCAGCATTTGAAATAGCTTAAAAACATGGCTTGTTCATACCATGCTCGGACCAGATCTGCAAATGTGGTGCAGTGCGTTTTTTATGCTTTTTTTTTTACGTGTTCCAGTGCGTCTTTTTTTTAGCTTAAAATGGGCTTTCAGGTGCAGTGTGTTTGCATGTGTACATGCTAGACCAGAAAAAAATAGCGCATGCAGCATTTTTTTCCCACCTCACTGGAGCGAACTGCAATGGTGTGAACAGATTCCAGAAATGCCACAGGAATACATTAGGATGCATTTAAGGTGTGCCCAAAAAAAGTCTGGCGTGGATCTGGTCCGGACATGGTGTGAACAAGCCCTTAGTCTGTAAGCAACTTTAAAATGGCCTCGTCCACAGGCCAGCTGAACCTGTGGCAAAACTTGCTGTCCACCAACCGTCTCCATCCAATCCGAGCCACAGCAATCATACATTGCAGAATCCATATGTTAAAGACTGTCCCCAAAAGAATCAAAGGCAAAGGTGATTCACGGGGAGGAGTGAAAACCCAACCAACCTTTTTTTTTTTTTAACTTTTTCGTTTTTGCA